TGGGAGAGGAACCCCAAACCCCAGCAGAACCAGCTCAGTCCCGGTGGGACCCTGTGCTGTGACCCCTGAGCACAGGGTCCCCACACGGCCGCTGGGGCTCCTTGGCCAGCAGCCCTGGGCACTCAGTGGCCACTGGCTGCTCTCTGCTCTCAGGGTGGGCCTTTCCACAGGGACGCTGCAGCAGAGCTGGAAAACCCGGGGGTTCTTCTTTGTGCAGCCCCATGTAACAAACACCATGGACACCATGGACATCATGGACATCATGGACATCATGGACATCATGGACACCATGGACATCATGGACATCATGGACACCATGGACACCATGGACATCATGCACACAGTGTCCACCACAGACCCACATGGCACAGCTGGGCACAGCTGGGGACCTTTCTCTGGGACAGTCCAGCCTCCATGACTGGGATCTGCATCCAAATCCACAAAACCCCAGGAGAGAAGGAAAAGGATGATTCCCTTTACCATGGAGAGGGCTCTGGCTCTCTGTGATCCACCAGGGAGCTGGCAGAGAGCCATGGGGAGGGGAAAGGAACATCAGGATGAGGCTCAGGCTGCCCAGCGTGGGCTGAGGAGCACCAGGAGAACTTTCTGGGCTGTGGCTGCTCAGCCAGGGCCAGGGAACAGCTCCATGAGCTGGGGACACCCCCAGAGGGCACCCGGAGCCACGTGTGCCCTGGGGACAGGCAGCAGATCGCTGGCTGGGGGCTGTGAACATCCCAGGGCCCGTGAGCACAGGGGAGTTGGTCCTGTCCCTGTGCCTGAGATCCAGCGGTTAATAATAAATCCAGCAGCTGGAAAAGAGGAAGTCACAGGTGGGGAAAACACAGGGAAGCAGTGGCTCCAAAAAATGAATAATCAATGGCAATTTGCTAATTATTCATGGCTGGGTCCTCTGGATCCTCCAGCTGTGTTGGTTTTTGTGGGGAAGTGTTTGAAGCGGGGGATCTCTGATAAGGGACACCTTTCTTAAGAAAGCCTTGCAATCCTTGTCCTTTCCTAACAGAGAAATGCCAGAGAAATTGTTTTTTCCATGGCTGGTTCTATGATCCAGAGGTTTTACTGATGTCCAGGGTTATACAGAATCCTTGGATATGTTGCCAGTCACTGTGACAAAACGTAAGTAATTGTGAAAAGCTGCCCAAGAGGTTGGCAGCGACATTTGGAAGGAGAAGGAGCTGTGTGAGAGGGATGTGGTGGTGTTTTCTGTGCTGATTTAATCACACGAGGACTTCACTGAGCAAGCATCTCCTGGTTAGAGGCACACGGTTGGAATCCTGTCTGCAGCATTCCGGAGGCACCAGACCATGCCCTCAATTTCCATGTTCCTACACAGACATTCCTAATTAAACTCGCGTGTTAATATTCCCAATCCGTCGGCCGTGTGTGGGGAACGTGGGTAAAGTGAATATTCTGCCCCAGGTGTGAATGGGCTCGGTGCAGGTGGCTCTCAGTGGCTCCCCAGGAGCAGCAGGAGCTGTGGGTGCTGGTGAGGGGCTCTGCAAAGGGGGACAGGGCCCTGCCGTGAAAATTTTGGGAACTGAGGGAATTGGGGGCACAGCCCTGCTGCTGCTCCCCACTCCTGGCAGGTGTTGGACTCGCTCCCCGTGATCCAGAGAGAGCCTCCACATGGTGGGCACCTTATATCCTGCTTCTTCCTCACTCGGGTCCCTTTTCTGGGCCTTCTCTGTGTGTTTTGGCCAGGCTGCAGCCCTGGGGAAGGAGGGGGAGTGGGGTTTCTCTGCCAGCCCTGACCCCGCAGCTCCCTGGGGCTGCTCCCGACCCCAGCCCGGCTGGGCCAGGCTCATTAGGAACTGACACGGGCTTCATTAATTACTGTGCCAGCTCTGCCCTGCTCACAAAGCTCAGTGCCAGCCTGAAACTCAGCACTTTCATTTTATTGACTGAGAAACCACATCTCGCTGCCTTTGGATATGTGTCAGCTTCTGCTCGCTTTTAGCTGGACGGCTTTGCCTGGCCCACCAAATCTGACATTTCTGGAGAGAAATGCACTCTCCAGGGAAATTCCCTTTGTGTCCACAGCTTCTGCTGCTGCCCAATTACCTAAGAAAGATTTTGCTATTTTATCTCTCAAATACCGGCCTGGAAAGCAAATCAAATTTCAATTTGCATAGTTCTGTCTCAGCCAGGCGGGCTGGTCTGTATCAGAAAATACAATATCAAAAGTGTGTGTAGGTGTATATATATTGATAAACCTCAATGAAAATTCCTGTTCTCGGTAGGAGCCTGCTGAAAGCCTGCAGCAGTCAGTCAGAGGACAGCTCCTGGGTGAATAAGGGCTGGATCCAGGCCAAGGTGTGGAGCAGAGAACTGGTGCCCTGCAGCTCGATTTCCCTGCCCTGGGTGCAGCCCTGAGCTGCCCCAGCCCTGCAGAGGATGTCTCTGCTGCTGGCCAGGGAATTGATGTGAAATCCATTCTGGGAAATTCCAAACACTTTGTAAAGGGGTGGTGGCACTTCTGGGCATGGAGCTCCCGAAATCCAGGGCAGCAGGGTTATAAAAGCACAGAAACCCTGCTGGGAGAGGCAGGGCATGCTCCTGTTCCCCTTGGGAAGCAGCTCTGGGAGCTGCCAGCCCTGCCCAGGGGGATGCCCAGGCAGGGAAAATCTCCCTGCTCCGCTCTCTCCCCTTGGGAAGCAGCTGAGCTGAGGCAGAGCCCCCCTCCCACGGCTGGGGAGCCACTCCCCAGCACCTCTGTTCATATCTTCACAGAGAATTAGAAAAATGGCCAAACCCCCCATTTGTGTAAGTCGTAATAATTCTGTTAAATGTTGGGTTTGAGCTCCTTCCATATGGATGCCAACTGCTGCTCCAGGTAACAATTACCAAGAGTTATGAAGGAATTTTCTCCAAATCCATTTTCCAGCTTGAGCTTTATTATGAATTATATGACAATAAGTGACTGAGATGGGATGAGGCAGAAATAACCTGGTTGAGCAAGGCCAGGAACACAAGTTTCTCCTTGACATTTAGCAGAAATCTAAAG